CTCTGCGTTCAGCCCCGGGTCTGCGGGTGTACAGGTGTTCACAGGTAACATGCAGACTGAGAAACCTCAGAACAGCTGCTATAAATGAGACGGTGCAAATGTGATGAGGCTTCAGCTCTTATTGGACGTGCTCCTCTGCAGGCTGCTGGGCGGAGCGAACAGAGGTGCACAAGGCAGCGTCGCTCGGCCAGGCCTCCCAGCTGGAGGAGCTCATTCAGGGCGGAGCCTCGGTCAACATGGTGGCCGTGGATTCCATCACAGCGCTGCACGAGGCGTGCCTCCACGGACAGGCCAGGTGTGTGCAGCTGCTGCTCGAGGCTGGAGCTCAGGTGAGTCACAGACACAGAAATGTGATCCACAGTCTGTCAAACTGTAGATCGAACAGGTAGAAACACTCTGTTCCCCATGACGCTGTCAGGTGGATGCAAGGAATGTGGACGGGAGCACCCCGCTGTGTGATGCCTGTTCAGCTGGGAGTTTGGAGTGTGTGAGGCTTTTGCTGCAGTACGGAGCCAAGGCGAACCCTGCCCTCACCTCCCGCACAGCCTCCCCCCTGCACGAGGCCTGCATGGGAGGTGAGAGTGTCACGCGTTGTGCTTCTGTCTGTGTTTTTGGAAAATAAAAGTTAATTTTATATGTTTGTATTTCAGGAAACTCTGAGTGTGTGAAGCTGCTGATCTCCATGGGAGCTTGTCTCGAGGCGTATGACCTTTACTACGGCACCCCGCTGCACGTGGCCTGTGCTAACGAGCACACGGCCTGTGTTAGAGAGCTGCTCAATGCAGGTGAGGGTCTGCACAGTAGCATGAATCAAACACAATGTCAGCTACCTTACAGTCAGCGTGCTAACTGTAGACCTGCAGCTCGCTGTCTAAGGAGCAGAGTTGCGTGCTGCAGAAAGAGCAAAAAGCACCCCTGTCAGTAATGTTTGCCCCCCTGAGAAACTGAGCTTTGTGTTGAGGCGCAGCACGAACCACCGCGGTGCAACGATGTGTGTTAAATAGCCATGGCGACGTTTTCCTTCATGTTTCTGTTCTGCGTAGGCGCTAAAGTGAACGCCGCCAGGCTGCACGAGACTCCGCTGCACCACGCCGCTAAAAGCATGCGGGTGGAGACGATCGAGATGCTGGTGGAGTTTGGAGCCAACATCTACGCTCGAGATCAGCACGAGAGGAGACCCGTGGACTACACCACGCCG